GTGCAAACAGCCCCAGCCCTGGCTTAGCATAGAACTAGTATTAACCATAAGCAACCACCAACTTCCATGTAGGTGGGAGTAGCAGACAGCACTGTTGAAAGTTACGTGCAAAGTAAAATAGCAAGGGGTTTGGTTTTTTTACACAGGGCCCTGAGATTGCATTATAGTTACTCTTCCATTGCTATGGTTTTGCTTAGAGAAACACAGAAACAAAAGATAACTTCATCCTCTTGAATTATGTGTGTCTTTTTGTCTCCTTGAATGCGCCATTCACCTGCATGCAAATGTGGAGCTTAGTTGTATGTAAGAAACTAGGGTTTTCTCTTTCCACTGTTTAGGATCACTCCGTGCATAGAATGAGTTATTTTTAATTTTTTCCTTTAGGAAAGTGTTTCTCAATCGGGGGTCGGGACCCCTGGGGGGGTCGTGAGGTGGTGTCAGAGGGGTCACCAAAGATCATCAGAAAACACAGTATTTTCTGTTGGTCATGAGGGTTCTGTGTCAGAATTTTGGCCTAATTCTATCATTGGTGAGGATCGGAATGCTCTTTGATTGTAGGTGAACTATAAATCCCAGCAACTACAACTCCCAAATGACATGTCCTATTTCCCCCAAACTCCATCAGTGTTCACATTTGGGCATATTGAGTATCCATGCCAAGTTTGATCCAGATCCACCATAGTTTGAGTCCACATTGYTCTCTGGATGTAGGTGAACTACAACTCCAAAACTCAAGGYCAATGCCCACCAAACCCTTCTTGTATTTTCAGTTGGTCAYGGGATTTCTGTGTGCCARGTTTGGTTCAATTCCATTGTTGGTGAGGTTCAGAATRCTCTTTGATTGTGTGTGAACTATAAATCCCAGCAACTACAACTCCCAAATGACAAAACCAATCCCCGCCAACCCCACCAGTATTCAAATTTTGGCGTATCGGGTATTTRTGCCAAATTTKGTYCAGTGAATGAAAATCCATCCWGSATAWSAGRTATTTACATTAYGATTCSTAACAGTAGCAAAATGACAGTTATGAAGTAGCAATGAAAATAAATTTATGGTTGGAMCTGTATTAAGGGGTYACGGCATTAGGAAGGTTGAGAAACAYTRCTTTAGGAAGTCAMGCTTTCTTAARRTTCATCTACAACAGTGGTYCCCAACCTCTTCTTGTTGTTTTTTTTAACCAGGGACCACTTTCCAACATTAGTACSAAAAGGRTTACGAATCCGTTKTTGGTSAACTTTAAATKTGGCTTGRTTRTTTGKGGTRCTGATTCAGAAAATTGCATTGGATAGACYACATCAGCTCTAGTTTCTGATACAGAACATATRCCATCCARCARTCGCYATCTGCTCGCCCACAGAAAACCATATTTAAAAATATAGATCTGATGTGGTAGTAGTAATCTTTCATGGGTAGTCAGCCTCTCCCCTCCCAACATCCCAGTTTCCTTGGGTTTCGTGAGACCAGTCACTCTCCTTGCCGTGTGGTTTTGAGGCAATGGCATAGTAATGGTGAGGCCACGGACCATATTTTGTTCTTGCGGACAGCTGGTGGTCCATGGACCACAGGTTGGGAACCACTGATCTACAATGTAGAATTTATGCACTTTACCTTTGTGGGTCATTGATATGGAATCATAGGAGTTACGGATTCCCTTAGCATTGAGCGATGTCAGTTAAAGTGTTGTCAAACTGCATCGTTTCCTGCAATTTGTAGTTTACCTAGGTCCATAGAAAACTCTGATAGGCAACATTAGCATCTCATAAAACTGCCAAGACACATTTCTGTATCTATAGCAGTTAAAGTCATATCAAAGTGCAATAAATGTGAGAAAATGACCTGAATCTGTCCATATCAGTAGGCTAGATGAAAGTCTAGATTTCTAGATGTATACCGATTATTTCCTTATATGATTCACCTAAAATTGCCTACTTTCCCTTCTGTATATTGGATCTGAGAGCCTGTGAGAACTTCCCTCACATCTATAACCCTTTTTTGTGGAACATTGCAAGCAGAAACAAGAAGCAGAAGGATATATATATAGAGAGAGAGAGAGAGAGAGAGAGGAAGTGGAAACGTGCATTTTCCCTGCATGTATCTGCATTCACAGACCACATCTCCCTTGTGCTTTGTACTGTGGATTTTGCAGCCTCACAGGATCAAATTCAACAGTTAAACATAAATATTGATTTAAATTCTCTTGGCTGGAGCACTCTTGGAAATTGCCAAGCTTTGGAAATGCACAATTGAAGGTGCATATTCTACAATGTGTAATCAATGCAGTTTGAGACAACTTGCACTGCCATGGCTCAATGTTATGATATTTGGAGAGTTGTGGTTTTGTTAGTATTAGCCGTCCTCTGCCACGCGTTGCTGTGGCCCACTCTGGTGGTCATGAGGGTTCTGTGTGGAAGGTTTGGCCCAATTCTATCGTTGATGGGGTTTGGAATGCTCTGTGATTGTAGGTGAACTATAAATCCCAGCAACTACAACTCCCAAATGTCAAGATTCTATTTTCCCCAAACTCCACCAGTGTTCACATTTGGGCATATTGAGTATTCATGTAGAGTTTGGTCCAGATCCATCATTGTTTAAGTCCACAGTGCTCTCTGGATGTAGGTGAACTACAACTCCAAAATCAAAGGACACTGCCCACCACACCCTTCCAGTATTTTCTATTGGTCATGGGAGAACTGTGTGCCAAGTTTGGTCCAATTCTATTGTCGGTGGGGTTCAGAATGCTCTTTGATTGTAGGTGAACTATAAATCCCAGAAACTACAACTCCCAAATGACAAAATCATTTTTTGAGTGGAGGACATACATTGGGTTGTTAGGTGTCTTGTGTCCAAATTTGGTGTCAATTCGTCCAGTAGTTTTTGAGTTACGTTAATCCCACAAACGAACATTACATTTTTATTTATATAGACTAGCTTTCCCCTTCCACGTGTTGCTGTGGCCCAGTGTGTATATGTGTTTTGTGTGTGCGTATATATTTGTATATATGTGTGTTTGCGTGTATGTATGTGTGTGTGTGTGGTTGTGTGCATGCTTTGTAATGTATTTTTTGTTTTTTTGGATTTTAAGTCCTTTCTGCTGTGTTTTCAGTGTTTTATGAGTGATAGTCACTCGTTGGCCTGATAGGTGTCTTGTGTCCAAATTTGGTGTCAATTTTTCCAGTGCTTTTTGAGTTATGTTAATCCCACAAACGAACATTACATTTTTATTTATATAGATTTAGCCTTCTTTGCCAAAGAGTGCTGATGCCTCACCAAACTACTAATACCAGGATTTCCTAGCATTGAGCCACAGCAGTTCAAGTGGTCTCAAACTGCATTAATTCTACAGTGTAGATCAGAGGTGTCCAACTTGTGGCCATCCAGATGTTTGGGCCTCCAATTCCCATAAGCCCTGGCCAGCTTGTCCAATACTCAGGAATTCTGAAAGCTAAAGTCCAAAACACCTGGAGGGTCACAAGTTTGACACTACCCTGAGATCTCTTTCTCTTCTTGGATTCAAAGAGTTTGGTCCATCACTGTTGTCAAAAATCTGAACCTATTTGAGAGTATTAATCTGACAGATGGAGATCAGTTTGCTTCAGTTAGGTACCCATTTGATATAGATCCAAAATTTGAAATCATATCATTTCAAACTCTGGACCAACTTTTGAGCTGTTAGACTAATCCATTGTAACA